GGACCTGCTCTCACCAATCCACCTGTTTCAGATGCTAACCTCCACCCTAACCTATCTGGCAACCCTGATTCCCTTTATCCCACTTTTCCCTGGATCCACTGCATTTATCATCTATGACCATGCTACAAAATTAAGTAACTTATTATGTTTATTTCTGACTCCAACTAGAAAGTAAAGTGCAGGGAGGCACAGATTTTATTTTACTCTAATGTAGCTCTAATTTCTAGAACAGTGGCTAGCATGTATTGGGTTCTCGATAAATATTTATTGAATAAAGAAAAAGAAAAGAATGTTCTCCATAGAGGTGTTTTTAAAATCAAAATGTGTCATAAAATGAAATGTTTCTTTTTTCCCTGTTATAATATTTATGGTGTTTGTTACAGTTACTTATGTCTTCGAATCTAGGAAATATAAATCGGGGGATACTTGCCTTTTTCCAAACTCGCTGCCATCAGAGTTAATTTAATATCTGGTAAAAAGAAGAAGCCGAATGTCATCTGTGACTTCTCTTTTTCTAATTTTATCACTCCTTTCTCTGTACCCAAAATTAATTTTTTGCCAAGTTGCCTAGCCCTGCCAACTGTATTTCAATAATAATGTCCTCATTAATTTCCTTCCCTCCTTCCCTGCTAGGAAGGGCACACATAGAGAGACAACTGCCAATAATCCTACAGGGGAGGCCGGAACTCTATCATAGGTGGCCTTCAAGGCAATTAAACTTTTCGTGGTAAACAATAGCGAGCCACTACCTTTTTTAAAGCAAGATCAGAATTTTTAGAAAGGTAACTCTGACAGTGATGTATCAAATGACCTGAAGGTCAGCAGAACTCTCATCTCTAATTCTGCACGAACTCTTGATCTCCCGCTATGTGATGATCTTTCCATCAGTTTCTCATCTGCTTTCTCTTTGGCCACCTACTCACATCTCAAACCTGCTCCTTCTCCAAGAGCCTGGGTGTACAGCAAAGACCCAGATCACGAGACATCCCTGGTTCCATCACCTTTGCACCTTTGACATGTTTCTAGTCTTCTTAGACACTCTGACCAGAAGAGAACAAAGGAAGAAAGGAGAGAAAAATAAGGGCTCGACATTTATTTCTTATAATCTCTAAATAATCTCATGTAATGTGAGTTAGTCCCACCTTAAAGTAAGGGAATTGAGGTTCGAAACACTAAAATATTTTACTCAACATGAAATAAGTAGTGGGATTCAAGCTTATAGCTGCCCAGAAGAATAAAAACAATAAGACTGACTGGCTTTTTTGTATTTTTGAGACTGATTCTCGCTCTTTTGCCCAGCCTGGAGTGCAGCGGTATGATCTCGGCTCACTGCAACCTCTGCCTCCCGGGTTCAAGTGATTCTCCTGCCTCCCCAGTCAGTAGCTGAGATTACAAGCATGCACCACCATGTCACGCTAATTTTCATATTTTTAGTAGAGACAGGGTTTCATCATGTTGGGTAGGCTGGTCTCGAACTCCTGACCTCAAGTGATCCACCCGCCTCAGCCTCCCAGAGTTCTGGGATTACAGGTGTGAGCCACCGAGCCTGGCCTGACTGACTTCTAATGAGCACCTAAGTTCCAGATACTGAAACATATCCTTTACATGAATTATTTAAATTCCAATAGGCTTATGGGGAGCTTCAGTTGTTATCCCCATTTGATAGAACAGGAGACCAAGATTAGGAAGATTAAGTAATTTTCCAAAGTTCACATGGCTAATAAATGATGATTCTAGGACTAGAGCCCAGTTTTATCTAACTGGGGTGAGAGGTCCTAACCCCCACACTATCAATAAACTCCAGTGCTTCCCAGTGGGTCATCTTGCCTCCTGCGGTATGGAAAACAAGAGCCACAGGCAAACACTGGCCTGGCCCCGACCATCACTACATGACGGTCTGTCAGCCTTAGGTGTCAGCGAGCCCCTGCTCTCTCTGCTGGCGGCAGGCCTGGCGCAGCTGTTTATCCTGCCACTGGGTGCTGGGGGAAAGGAATAGCTCTGGATGGATCAGTGCTCCTAAAAATAGATTTTTTTTTCTGTACTGTTTCCTGCTTTAACAATTTATATCCCATCCGCCACTGCCACCATCACCACCTGCCCCTAGAATCGTGAGGAAGAAAGAAAACTCTAAAGCTTAAGAGGCAAGAATTCTAGTTGAATTTCAATTGTGACTATCAAAGCAGAAAAGTCGTCTGTAAATGTTAAAATTGTACCATTATCTTTCTGCCCAGCACATGGGTTACATGTGGACTTGGCACCATTTTATTTGGGAACACAAAGGCCGGCTTACTCCTTTTTCTTTTTGAATATTCACTTAGCGTTGGCTCAATACTTGAGGTTCTTGGGTAAAGGTTTCTCAATTAGGTAGTTAATTTCAATCTAAAGAGTTATTACTCAAAATACTCTGTGATATGAAGACTGGTGTGAATAAAGACAGAAACATTTCATTCCCATAGATACAGCATGATAATAATGATAAATTAGGAACATCACAGACGTACTCACTCCATGCTCAGATCTGCCAAGAAATGGCGCTTATTTCTTTTTAATTGATTGGGTCTTCTTCATAATTCCACATCCACTGGGGAGCCTAGAAAAGTTATTTCAGTTACATTGTTGATTCCATCTTATTAGACAATTCAACCCATCTCTTTTTTTTTTTTTTTTTTTTTTTGAGACGGAGTCTTGCTCTGTGCCCAGGCTGGAGTGCAGTGGCCGGATCTCAGCTCACTGCAAGCTCCGCCTCCCGGGTTCACGTCATTCTCCTGCCTCAGCCTCCAGAGTAGCTGGGACTACAGGCGCCCGCCACCGCGCCCGGCTAGTTTTTTGTATTTTTTAGTAGAGACGGGGTTTCACCGTGTTAGCCAGGATGGTCTCGATCTCCTGACCTCGTGATCCGCCCGTCTCGGCCTCCCAAAGTGCTGGGATTACAGGCTTGAGCCACCGCGCCCGGCCTCAACCCATCTCTTTAGGTAACTCAGTTTCTGCTTCCATGAGTGAGAGAAGCACTTGTCAGATTTCCAGCCTCTCCACCTGGATTTATATGGATTTATGTGAAATGAGTGCGGTGAACATAATCTTAGGGAAGGTGGAGTCCTGGAGTTGAAGAGGTGTCCTCTGAGCTCTCCCGGTCTGGCCTTCTCCTGGAGGTGGTCATCTCAGGAGGGACTTGTCCATCCCCAAGGCATTCTGAAGCCTCCATTGCTAGAAACTGCCTTTGGTGATATTCATTCATGTTTTGTTCACTTAATTCTTACAGCGTTTCAGGGCCTCACTAGCCATCTCCCCTTGTTGATCAAGCCCCCATCTTCGCTTTTGCTGAAAATAATGATTCCCAGTGGGATCTTTATCTACCGTGAATGGCTTCATTTTCTTTAGACCACCTGCTTTGGCAAAGTTGCCAGGCAAGACCTTCACCTCCTTCCAGCCAGATGCCCCTGGTTCATTTCACAGGACACTCAGAAAAGCTACCATACCATACAAGAGCTGAGGGAGATTCTGAGGGGTTAAACTCAGATCTTTCTACAGAAAACCACAGTAAGCCACTGAATTTAATTTTACGTAAAACCCCCAGTAGTTAAGCAGAAGGAACGTGTAAAGCGATAGCTTCCCATCCTCTTGAAGGGGCAGAAGGCCCTTTCCCCTCACCATTCCCCTCAAATTCTCTGCAACATCTTTATACTGTTCTGTCACTCAACCCGCACCACCAGGAATTGGTGAAAACTAGAGAAGCTGGATCAGTATTCTCCTATTTCTCTGTCTTCTACCAAGAATCCAGTGGGAACTGAGGAGCCAGGCGTTTCCCGGCTTCGTCCTAACCTACCCTGCACTCACTTTCATTTAAGACTCTCTAGTATTATTTGTCTGGCGGCTTCTCAATAGTTAAAGAAGAAATAAAGGAATTTAGAAAATCTTTTTCTTTCTTACAATCCAAATTTCATGACTATTGTCTTGGCAAAGAAGTCAAAGGAGCCAGCTTTTGACATTCAAAACTGATCAATGGCTTCTTTGTTCTAATCTTGGGAATGCCTAGCTTCTCCTTCCCAGAGGCTGTGTGCTTGGGAGGTAGAAGTTTGCAACAAGGGAACTTGATTTAAGGGATAAGTGTCAGTGCTTTGATTTACTATCTCAAATGATTTCAAATAATTCTCGTTATAACTCCCACCAAAATAACAATATTAGATTCTTACTATGTCAGATATTGTGCATCAATGTTATTTTATGTTTTACTTAATTTTTACAACAACCCTGTTATGAAAGTCTTATTACACACATTTTCAGAGTAGAAAATCAAGTCTCAGAATGATTCACACAGCCTGGAAGGAGTTCTTTCTCTTATCCACTGCAGTCTAAAATAGTGTTTCTCAGTTTGACTACAGCCCACACGAGAAATATAATTTATGTCCCAATCCAAATACACACATAACTGAAGAAAGAGTTTCACATAACAATACTTAACTTGCACTCAATTTCTTATGTTCTGTGTAATTCTCTTCCTTTCTTTTTTTATTCTTTTTAATGCTAATCACAATCAACTAAATTGATTTCATGATCTACTAAAGGGTCATAATTGACAGCTGAAAAATGCTGCTCCAGCACCTGCAGCATCAATATTACAGAATTCTAGTAGAAATTACATCAAACTATTTAGCCATTTGGAAATCAGGCTAAGGTAATTTTTCGTATACAAGTTATAATTGGGAGCGCTTCAGTATGAAAGACTTGAAGCAAGTAAAATAGTGAGTTAAATGTCAATTAAATACTGTTAGGTAGCTTTAAAATTACTTAGCAAGAGGAAATCCAGGAGCTGAACAAATATAGATTTGTGGTTGACTTGCCATTCTTAAGTAGTTTCACAAAATCCTCTTTGGGTTAGCCTCTCAGAACTTGTATCTAGGTATTTTCACTCTTAATTTTGATCTGCAGGACATAATTGTATTCCAAGGTTTTTATTTTTCCCCAAGGATTCAGATTAAAATGTAGAATTGTTTTCATCCAAATTGTATTCCAAATCTCTAAATAATTTCAAAGAAGAAAAGCTTTCATGAGTCCCAAATTCTTGGATGATTAAGGATTTGAGTCAGTGGACATTCTGCATTTGGAGTGAGCAAGATAAACTCCACGCTGATGATGTCAATTAATTTGGGAATGAGTGAATGACATTTCAAAAAAAAGAAAGTTGAGAAGGTGTTCAAGAATTTCCAGCCCGTAAAGGCTAGGAAAAGCCAACAGATTTCTGCCTTTCAATCCAAAGCTCATTACAAAGTTGTATGTTGGAGTCCTTTGCTTTAGGCAACTTTCAAGTAAATCAAGAAATGAGCCCTCTCCCATGTTTGCTGCACTTTCCAGTTCTCACTAAATTATACTTTTGACCTCTGAGACATTTGCAATGGCACAAGGATGTGGTTACAAATTGGATTAGCATTACCAAGCAGATCCTTTTGACATGCTGGAAGACCTAATCCATCAGTTACCTACTGAAGCCAAATGGATGATGTTAGTAGCTCCTTAGGGTAGGTTTTGAGATACACAACTGGAGGACAAAACAGAAACTTTTGAAAATATGGAAAAGAAACTATGCAAAACAAAGGAAAGGAAGAATGTGCGAATAAATGCTGGGAGACCTAGATTCTGGCCCTGCAACTACCACAGAATAGTTTCGGAAGCCTTACAAACTTTGACCTTTTTCGGTTTCAGATTTCTCACCTGCAAATGTCTTCTGTAGCTTATCACCTGTAAATGGTCTCCTAGTAACTACTGACATGCCAAACAGTTGGGATCAATTCTCTCCCTCAAATTGCAAACAAGATTGAAATCACCATATTCTTCAATTCTCTCATTAGATAAATACAATTCAGAGATTACTACAAATAAGCAATCCTCCTGGAATCCGGCACCCCTGGGAAGAACCTAGCCACCAGTGGTTTTAGGAGAGAGTTAAGGGAGAAGGCATAACATGTTAACAAGATCATGGGATGAGAAATTCACACAACCTGTAGAGGGCACTAAGGTACTTTTTAGAGAAAGAATCAGACTAATGGGCATGAGAGGTACCTGTTACCCCCAAATGAGAAGCAAATGGGAAGAAAGGATGAGTGAAAGAGGTATCTTCATTCATCGCTCCTCATACGGTTCTGTTAATCCCTGCCTTCTATCCCAAGTAGACAATAATCACAATAATCAGTGATTACGAAAGATAAACTATTAACTGATAGAAAAGGGAAAAAATTACAAAAAGGAAAGCTTCTTTGTAAGGATTTGATAAAAGGGCCCTTGATACCTAATAACTTCAGGATTTGCCATTGGTCAGAATTAGGAAATCCAAGAAGAAAATGTTTGAAGCTCTTGCCATATTGATTATTGGCAGAGCAGAGGTAAATTAGAGGGAAGATCCAAGGAGTATCATAGGGTGAGGTCAAAGGATAGCACAGATGGAAGATGCAAGTCAATGCCTTATACTGCAAGATTATTTCTCAGGAAGGAATGAATAGGATTCAAAATGATGCCCAGAAATGCCCTTACTTTTGTATAATTCTTAACAATCTGCAAAACCTTTTGTAAAACTGGAATCTCATTTGATCCTCATGACAGCCATTTACATCTGAAGGTGTAGAGAGGTGATGTGGCTTTCCCAAAGTAACACAGTAAATTTCAAAGCTGGGTCTTTAATAGAAATTAATTTCCAGTGATTTTTAACAGAACATCGGGCTGTTCTACCAACCCAGAGTGCTTTTGGGGACTTATTCACAGTGGAAAAATTCTGTTACAAGCCCAAGAGATGTCAGTTTATGTTGTAAAGTGAAAATCAAATGGCAGATATTCACAAAGCAAAATAAAGACAATTTCTCATCACAGGCTTTGTAGCTCTAAGAAGCTAACAGGAGTTTTCACAACACAAATGGCTAATGTTAGCAGCATGCCGAGTTGGCAGTCATGCCGTCTGCCTGATCAACAATATGCCATTCTGTTCGAAATTTATCCTGTTACAATTCCTCTGGGTAAAGGTATCATTTCCAAAATGTCCCTATCAGAAAGTAAATAGAATTTGTAATAAAAACTAATAGAAGAGGTGGGAGCATATATGCTTTCCGTTCTACCCCCCTCACAGAAAAAAAAAAAAAAAAATCATTACTGCCTATATTCAGATGATTACTGTCCCAAGCCAAAGCTCCAGGAAGGGAATCTAGAGTCAAAACAGGAAGAACAAGTTTGGGTGTGAACTCCACAGGGAAGCCTCAGGCTGAGACATGATGATGTCATTGGCTTCAGGAGGGGCTTTGAAGTTAGACCCAAGGTTGAAACCCAGCTCTGCCTCTTAGAAGATGTACTGAGATTCATTGAGCTTCATTTTCTATGCAATGAGGATAAAATTCTGATCCTGCAAGTTGATGTAAGGATCAGAAATAATACATGTAAGTGTGTGTCACATAATAAATCCTCAATACGTGGAAACTAGAATTTTTGGGTCCCAGATGCTTGATGGGAAATGGGGCACAGAGTAATGTTGAAAGCCCTAAAGACAGGTTTTCCCTCTTTTCAAGTCTGCTAAGGACTAGCCCTGACACCAGGTCTTGCAGAAGGTCTGTATATCTAACAGACCAAGGACTTTTTCAGAAGACAGCTTTTGTCGAATGTCACCTTGAGTCCCCCAAGTGTAACGATTTATTATACTTTGATTTGTACAAGTCCTCCAAGATCAAAGATGGATTCTGAATGTTAGTTGTCAAATGAACAAACGATTGTGGAAATATAAAAGCAAAACAATTCATGTTGCCTTAGGAATAGCTCATTTGCAAAATCTAATATGCTATTACATTGACATATTTCCTCATTTCATCTATTAAATCTTCCATTTTAGTAAAACTAGTTTGTCACAACCAAATGCTGTGATTATGTGCATTTATGTATACATCATATGCGTATAGTCTGCCTATAGTGTCTAAAGAACGCTGGGTCTGAGTTGAAAAAAGGAAATTAAGATCTAGGTGTGAATGAACAGTCTCTGCATTTCAAATATCTTTGAGTATGACTACCTTCTTAAAAATACTTCTGAAATACACAGCTTTTTAAAATGTTAGTTCTTCTAGCACATCAATCAATCAATCAAACTGTAAGTTGTTCTTTTAAAAATGTCCATTTGGAAAACTTACGAAAAATAGATCCCATGAATTGAAATACTCCCTGAGTTAACTGAATGTGTTAGTGGGAACTGCTTGTGAGATATTATATTGGAGGCAAAGAATCACTTTCCTGTTCCCTGAGTTTTTGTTATAATCTTCCACCTTGGACTTGGCCTATTTTATTTGAATCTGCCTTTATTTGACCTGGGAAAAAAATGTTCATGTAAAAATTGACCCGTCTCTGGCTCTCGCGGCAACTTGTTTGTGGTATAGATGAGTGTGCTGGTTCAAATTCCTCTGTTCACTGTTGACTAAGACTTTGAAGAGTTCTTCAGGCTCCACTAGGCCCGAGAAGAGTCTATTGAGAGTCTCAGCCTTTTTTTTCCTGCCAAGTTACTTTTTTATTAGGTAGATAAACTCCTGAATTGTTGAGAAACAGCTGTTCGAAGAAGGCTTTGGCTGATTCTCATGAGGTTTCTGGGTGCATGGGAGATATATTTGTGTCTGGGATCCATTGGTCCTTAGCACAGTTAGACCTGGATGACCTCTCTTTCTTGCTCTATAAAGGTTTCTGGAATGTGATGGAAATGCAGCACTGCTTTTCAGGGAAAGCTGCAGCCACTCAATCAATTTCCTTTTGCTTTCTGTCTCCCATCTAAGTGTGAATCTCTCTCCATAAATGTTAGTCTTTAAAATTAGGATTTCAGGCAATTTAATGTTTACTAGATGAATGCTAACCACATAAAGTATATGAAACTTTACTTAGAAAAAAAAAAAAAACAGAAAAGAAAGATAAAGAACCCCCCAAAAAACCATGAGTTCTGACTAAGACTAAGCCTGGTCAGATACGTGAAAGGGTTTAAACTGTTAATTTTCACATATTGCTCAAGTAAGCAAAACTAAAAGCATTTAACTTCTTTAATAATCTCAGACATGGTTTTCTTATAATGTACTACAAAATCTGTATTGATTACTCTGTCGGTGAGGTGCACATTTAATAAACATGTATTCCAAAGTGAAGCGTAAAATCAAAGTTGAAATTACTATTCTTGAAAGCCACTTTTCCCACCAGTGTGTCAAAACAAAGTGATTGGGGGACAACAAAGACTTACATTTCAATTGTTTCTTGAGAAACAAATTGATAATAGGCATTAAGATGAAGAGGGCATTTACAGACAGCAGAGGAATAATTTCCATACTTTTTCAAAACATGTTAGTGTGGAGATGACGTCCACCCAATCATTTGGGAACAGAAAAAAGTTTAGCTGGAAGCTGTAAAGGAAGAATAAATTTTTAGTGTTTCTGAAAAACATAAAAATTTTCGGTATTATTTAAAAAGTATTGAATTGATAAAAAATTTAAATATCAAATTCGATCCACTATATGTACCATTTATATATGCATATAATAAAGATTAGATTATAAACTTTTACCATTATTTTTGCAAAGGGCATTATTTACATATAAGAGCAAATTTCTTTGCCAAATGTAAGCACCCAGTTTTTGAAGTTTTAGAATCTCCCAAAGCAGTATTTGCAGCTATGCAAAATTTTTTCACATCTTTAATGCTCTTCAGAAGAGGTCTATAGAAGGCAAATTGTAAATGTGTAAAGTGGTAAATAGAAGGGGTGATTCAAAGGAAAAGCAAATTGACATTTGTAGTAGTAGAGGGTACTGTTGTTTTTGATTTGTTATATGCCTTAATCTGGTATGCTATTTCACCCTTCATGACACACATCAATACCTTCTTTATGTCTGGCTATTACCGCTCATTTAAAAATCTATTTTACATGATTCTTTCAGCCAAAAAAAGACCATAATGACACAGAATACAGCATGTGCTTCATAAATTCTGTAAGAATCAATACTTTGGCTGGGGAATTTGTCAGTCTCTCAAAGTTATGCATCATTAAACTTTACTGTTATTACAGTGGACTCTTCCTCAAAGTTCAGTACCTTGCTCATATTGGAGAAACGCTTTTAAAGCCAGGAAAGCCAGAGAGAGGCAAAAGCTACTTAAGCAGTGGGATATATACCTGCAGATGATGCTTCATTTGCAAAATGCAAATAGAACCAACTCTGTTTTGCTTATGTATGGGCAGGTAGTTTATAAGCTTCAGGTTCCATTTATCTAAAGGCCCTGTAGATGATATCCACACAAGTTTGGAGAATATGGGAAATATTCTTCTACTGACCCGATTCCTCCTGCCTTCTAATAATAACCTCTGACAATTCCAGCAGACAGGTTAAAAAGCAGATGACAGCTGGATTCTTCACTCATTTTACACTAGTTTCTGGATTAACTTGTAATGAGAACATGAGAGGTATTTGGTGTTTGTCATAATGACTGGTTCCAGTAGACACTTTCTTTTCAGCCACGCCTGTAGGGATTCCAGCTGTAATCATGGCTCCTATGAATGGCCTCATCAGCATCCAAACCAAATATTGGCAGAGTGCCATTTGTGAGTTGTCTCCTGGTTTCACCCCAGTCTCATCAGTCAAGATCTCACTATTCTTCTAACCATATGAAATACATGAGGTTCCCAGAAGTGACTAAGCTCTTGCTGCTGGGTTCAAGGCCTTGGCTTCTGAAGTTCCTTTCACCTGTCCTGCTATTTCCCCCGTTCGCTATTACTTTCTCTTTTTTTGGGGGGGGGGGGCACAAAACTTTTGAATGTAATAAAGAAATGGCAATAACTGGTACATACATTAATTAAAAATATTTTCCCTCAGCACCAAATAGAATAGTTCCCAATCTTTTCACCGAGAACCCCTTTGCAAGAATGCCTAAAACTTAATCAGTTTATGTAGGCTTTTAGTCAAGAAATGTAAAGCTGCCAATCAGAGTTTCTAATGACCATGAGATGACCAGGTTAACAGCCTTGAGGTCATATTATATGAGCTTTTAAAAGCTTTGTTTAACCTATACATTCTAACCAAGGGGATTTGTCAGCATCAGGCCGGTAATCACAGGTCCATGTGATTCCAGATACCATATACACACACAACAAAAAGAGAAAGACCATATGATCCCTGTATATTTAAGGGGAATAATGTCTGATTCTCACAGGTGTACAATTAGTGAGGGGCAGAGAGACAGGTGCAAAGCACTACCCCACAAGGGAGAAGCAAGCAAGGGCAGTAGAAGAGATAAAAGTCCTGTGCCCTTGGGATGCAGCAAAATGGGTGCTGGGAGGCTCCAGGGAGCAGACACATGAGTGGATGTCAGTGCATGTGGGAAAGGGCCTTCAAGGCTGAAGAAAACAAAATGAGCCAAGGCACAGAGCCACAGGAGTACTGTCAGTCAAAAGATAGTGAAGTGTTTGTCCTGGGTAAAGGGATGTGATCTAATAAGATCTAATAAGGGACTGTATAAAACTCAAAAACCTCACCCAGTGAGAGCCAAACAACGCTGGTCTGTATTATTATTTTATTTTTTATTTTTTGAGATGGAGTTTTATTTTGTCACCCAGGCTGAAGTGCAAATGGCATGATCCTGGCTCATTGCAACCTCTGCCTCCTGGGTTCAAGCGATTCTCATGCCTCAGCCTCCCAAGTTGCTGTGTTTACAGGCACCCACCACCACACCTGGCTAATTTTTATATTTTTAGTAGAGATAGGATTTCACCATATTGGCCAGTCTGGTCTCGAACTCCTGGTCTCAAGTGATTCACCCGCTTCGGCCTCCCAAAGTGCTGAGATTACAGGCATAAGCCACTGTGCCCGGCCCTGATAGCCTCTATTTCTTAACAGCAATTTGACAGAGAATTTGAGGTGACCTGAAAACCAACAAGAAAGCAAAATATCCCCCAAAGGCGGAGGCGCCACATGCTCTTTGTGGAGGTTAAGAAGCTAATGATCACCCTGCAGGCCCCCCTCACCCCCACTGCGACACCCCAGTCTCTTGGAATCAAATCCACTGGCAATAACCTTCCTGAATGGAAAATGTTTCCCCTCCCAAAATGTAAAACAAAAATAATACAAGCAAGCAAAACTCAAAACGGAAAGGGATGATCAGAGCAAGTTTTAGCCCCTCATAGCTCACCTGTGCGCCCATTGTCATGCTACTGAAAACAGCGTCTGCCCCATTAAACATCTTCATTACTGCAGAACGTGGCAAAATGTATCATATATCACTGCTCCTACTACATCCCTGTAAAAAAAAAGGAAACACCACACAAAATATAAACTTATCCCCAAAAGAAGTCAGCATCAACCTAAGGATCCTACTGAAATATTACTAGACTAACCCAAGATACTTTAGTCCTCTTCCGACTTATTTACCAAAAAATACCCATTCTGAGAGCTCTGGAAACATTACAAATGTTGTATCAGACTTTTCTTCCTGTGGTAGTTTGAAGTCTTGAAATAGAGGAAATTTACATATTTTTCTACACACCACTGAGGGGTAATTATCATAAAAGGCCTACAACCAAAATCCTCATCCCCCAATTCTCAGGCTATCATAATTTTCTTTGTTTGTTTGTTTTGAGACAGAGTCTCACTGTATCACCCAGGCTAGAGTGCGGTGGTATGATCTTGGCTCACTGCAACCTCCACCTCCTGGGTTCAAGTGATTCTACTGCCTCAGCCTCCCGAGTAGCTGGGATTACAGGCATCTGCCATCACACCCAGCTAATTTTTTGTGTTTTTAGTAGAGACAGGGTTTCACCATGTTGGTCAGGCTGGTCTCGAACTCCTGACCTGAAGTGATCCATCTGCCTCAACCTCCCAAAGTGCTGGGATTACAGACGTGAGCCACAGAGCCCAGCCAATAATTTTTCCTTCAGCTCAAACAATGGAAAACACACATAAAAAGATGAAAAGTCATACAAAAATTAAAAAACAAGCAAAACCACCATTAAAAAGAAACTATGTTGTCACATTAACAGTCTAAACTTTGCTAAAGACCAAAAAAAAAAAAGACTTTTTTTAAAAAACTGGTTTATCCAAGCTACAGACATTTTATAAAGTACTCAATAAATTAATAGCTTATAAAAATAGTGGAAAATTTTTCGATGACATCATGAAACTAAAATCGACTCATTCTCTGGCAAACAGTTCTTTCAAAATGTCAAGTCTACAAGAAGGGATGTAGGCCCGGGGTGGTGGTTCACGTCTGTAATCCCAGGACTTCGGGAGGCTGAAGCGGGTGGATCACGAGGTCAGGAGTTCGACACCAGCCTGACCAACATAGTGAAACCCCATCTCTACTAAAAATACACAAAAAATTAGCGGAGTGTGGTGGCCTGTGCCTCTAATCCCAGCTACTTGAGAGGCTGAGGCAGAGAATTGCTTGAACCCGGGAGGCGGACTCTGTCTCAAAAAAAAAAAACCAAAAAGAAGAAGAGATGTGTGGCAAACCTCACGCAGCAGCCCACTCTCAGGCTGACCTGCTCTGGTTTCTGGACAAATAACTGCAATCTTTTTTGTAAGAAAAATCATTGTGGTGACAGAGCAAGACAGACAGAAAGGAAGGAAGGAAGAAAGAAATAGAGAGAGAGAGAGAGAGAGAGAGAGAGAGAGAGAGAAAGAAAGAAAGAAAGAAAGAAAGAAAGAAAGAAAGAAAGACATGCATTACTCTTTCAGCTCAAACAATGGAAAACACACATAAAAAGATGAAAAGTCATACAAAAATTAAAAAACAAGCAAAACCACCATTAAAAAGAAACTATGTTAAGCTACATTATTAACAGTCTAAACTTTGCTAAAGACCAAAAAAAAAGACTTTTTTAAAACTGGTTTATCCAAGCTACAGACATTTTATAAAGTACTCAATAAATTAATAGCTTATAAAAATAGTGGAAAATTTTTCGATGACATCATGAAACTAAAATCGACTCATTCTCTGGCAAACAGTTCTTTTTTCAAATGTCTACAAGAAGGGATGTAGGCCCGGTGGTGGTTCACGCCTGTAATCCCAGGACTTCGGGAGGCTGAAGCGGGTGGATCACGAGGTCAGGAGTTCGACACCAGCCTGACCAACATAGTGAAACCCCATCTCTACGCTAAAAAATACACAAAAAATTAGCGGAGTGTGGTGGCTCGTGCCTCTAATCCCAGCTACTGAGAGGCCTGAGCAGAGAATTGCTTGAACCCGGGAGGCATGACTCTGTCTCAAAAAAAAAAAAAACCAAAAAGAAGAAGAGATGTGTGGCAAACCTCACGCAGCAGCCCACTCTCAGGCTGACCTGCTCTGGTTTCTGGACAAATAACTGCAATCTTTTGTAAGAAAATCATTGTAGTGACAGAGCAAGACAGACAGAAAGGAAGGGAAGAAAAGAAATAGAGAGAGAGAGAGAGGAGAGAGAGGAGAGAGAGAGAGAGAAAGAAAGAAAGAAAGAAAGAAAGAAAGAAAGAAAGAAAGAAAGAAAGAAAGCACGAAAGAAAGAAAGAAAGAAAGAAAGAAAGAAAGAAAGAAAGAAAGAAAGAAAGAAAGAAAGAAAGAAAAGAAAGGAGGGGAGGAGAGGGGAGGGGAGGGAAGGGAAGGGAAGGGAAGGGAAGGGAAGGGAAGGGAGGGAGGAAGGGAGGGAGGAAGGAAGGAAGGAAGGAAAGAGAAAAGAAAAGAAAGAAGGAGAGAAGGAAGGAAGGAGAGAAGGAAGGAGAGAGAAAAGAAAGATAAGAAGGAAGGAAGGAACGAACGAAGGAACGAAGGAAGGGAAAGAAAGAGAAAGAAACAAAGAAAGAAAGAAAGAAAGAAAAGAAAGAAAGAGAAAGAAAGAAAGAGAAAAGAAAGAGAGAAAAAGAAAGAAAGAAAGAAAGAAAGAAAGAAAGAAAGAAAGAAAGAAAGAAAGAAAGAAAGAAAGAAAGAAAGAAAGAAAGAATATGAAAGAAAAGAAAGAAAGAAAGAGAAAGAAGAAGAAGAAAGAAAGAAAGAAGAAAGAAAGAAAGAAAAGAAAGAGGAGGAGAGGGAGGAGGGAAGGGAAGGGGGAAGGGAAGGGAAGGGAAGGGGAAGGGAGGGAGGAAGGGAGGGAGGAAGGAAGGAAGGAAGGAAAGAGAAAAGAAAAGAAAGAAGGAGAAGGAAGGAAGAAGGAGAGAGAAGGAAGGAGAAAAGAAGATGAAGAAGAGGAAGGAAGGAGCAGGCAGAGGAGCGAAGGAAGGAAAGAAAGAGGAAAGAAACTAGAAAAGAAAGAAAGAAAGAAAAGAAAGAAAGAGAAAGAAAGAAAGAAAAGAAAGAGAGAAAAAGAAGAAACAAAGAAAGAAAGAAAGAAGAAAGAAAGAAAGAAAGAAAGAAAGAAAGAAAGAAAGAGGGAGGAAGGAAGGGAGGGAAGGAAGGAAGGAAGGGAAGGAAGGAAGGAAGGAAGGAAGGAAGGAAGGAAGGAAGGAAGGAAAGGGCATTCTGTCTTTCTTGCAATATCCAGAAACGTCTGGATACACTGAGCAATACCAATCTGAATGTCTTCTAGAAAGAAAGAAAGAAAGAAAGAAAGAAAGAAAGAAAGAAAGAAAGAGGAAGGAAGGAAGGGAGAGAGGAAGGAAGGAAGGAAGGAAGGAAGGAAGGAAGGAAGGAAGGAAGGAAGGAAGGAAGGAAGGAAGGAAGGAAGGGCATTCTGTCTTTCTTGCAATATCCAGAAACGTCTGGATACACTGAGCAATACCAATCTGAATGTCTTCCTGATCAGTGCCGTTGACACAGTCCTGACTCACCAGAGAAGTTAAGCATGTCTCGCAAGGTGACTCCAATTACTCCACCGAAATACTGTTAGAAGGTCTCAGAGCATGTGGAGCTGTCTGAAGAAGCGGAGTTTGGCCTGGGAGGGGCAGTGGGGGCCCCAGTGGCTGCCTAGAGAACATACCCCCTAGCAGAGCCACTGTGTCTGGATTGGCGTGGAAGGAACCCACTCTCAGCTGTTACTTTCTTTATAATCTCTGAATATTTGTCACCTTCCCTGAGAAGTCCTCCCTGATTACCTTACATTGAGGATGGTGTGCCGCTGTTCTGGAAAGCACCCTATTTTGCCCTATGTTATATTTATATGGTAATGAAATCGCCTGTTGATTGTCTGACTTCTCTATAACAGTGAGAGTTTCAGCGGGGACTGCATCTATTTCCCATTGTACCCCATCACACAATTCTGTGCCTGGCCCATAGTAGGTGCTCAAAAAAATCATCAATGAATAAATGAACAATGTCTTCCATGTGCAAAGTAGAAGGTAAATACTAGAAATCTCAAAGAGGCATAAAATTTAGCCCCTATTCTGGAAGAGTTTACAACAAGGTAGGAAAAACAGCATGAATATAGGTTTTTTTTTTTTTTAATAAAGAAAAGACTAATAACAAAAATTATTTTCATTAGCTGCAAGAAAGTGACAGTTTGTGATAATACTAAAAAATTATTTCTCACATGAGTCATTGTTTATTTCTTACTAGAAATAAACAGTCATTTGAATGTCGGAATCATATCAAATAATAACACCTTTCATAGTATGTTCTCCCTTATATCTGTGGCTGAAATGTCTCACCTGCTGGTTTGTTGACAATGCCTTCAAGGCCATATTGCTACATGGGAGAAGCTGAGTGCAGAGACTCCTTCATATTCATTCTTCACACAATCTTTCAGCTCCGGATATTTCCAAACTTTTCCTCAGCTATTGAAATTTGTTATGGAAATAACAATGAAAAAAAAGAAAACCCGATTCCCACTTTGTAAAAGAATGTTTATACAATATAGTGTTTATAATAGTACCTGGTACCTGGTTAACTTTCAATACATGTTTGTTATTCTCATTTCATACCCCTTGATATCTTTATATTACCCTTTCTAAGGCACTGAATCTAAGCCTGAAAGCAAGTACAGATGGAAAAGAAAAGCAATGTAATGAACCTTGCACCATATTCTTGGACTGTGTCATGCATTTAAAACTACAGTTCAGAGTTCACGCATTTGAATTGGCTCACAAACAATAAGGAATTGTGCCTGGTCTGGGTCAGGTATGAGCAAGCTGGAATCTGGCATAGGTAGGATGTTTACTAGTTTGGTGTTCTGGTTGTGTGCTTTCTCTTATTCTTATAATCTTCACCTCCAATTTTTGTCATTCTGTAAGGAGACTTAGATTTGGTCATCTTCCCACCATAGGCTAACCTAGCATGGTGGGCTTTGGAGTCAGAAATTCCTGAGTTTGGACCTGATCTCACCATTAGCCTCTCTGAACTTCCTTTTCTTTATTTGTAAAGGTGGAATTAATAACCAGTCCTGCTTTAAACTCTCTTAAGGATAAATACTAATTAATATAAAATTAATGGTATAGGTATACTCTAATCTTGATGAGAGAAACAAGCTCCTCTAAGTAGGTAACTGATTAGTGTCAGTCACGATGGATATAAATACCATGAAGAATTGGTATCATGTACAGTTCAATAGGGCTCGAACACATCACGGTACCTGTTCTGTGCCCAATAGGCTGTGCTCCATGTTTTTTCAAAATGTTCCTACCACACAGTTTTGCAGTTGTTTGGAATTCAATATATATTTTTGAACTAAATAGAATTGATAAGAATAAAAGGTAATCCCTAAATAATGGCACGAATATTCTCCTATAACTT